AAACTTCCAAGGGCATACTCTCTTATATTCTGGGTATATTCCAGCCACTTATGAGTGTGCCAATTGCCAGCTATAATGCAAATGATACTCCTACTATTACAAATTAGTATGTACATCTTGTTTCCATTTGTCATCTGATTTACAATGTGCTTAGATCTAATTATCAATAGGAAGTAATTGTGTTAGTGAAGCAATTTGCGCTGCTATGTCAAGGATTTTTTTTTTGTTCTGTTGTCTTTTTTATTTATTATTATTATTATTTTTTTTTTGGGGAGTGGGGGGTGGGGACTGTGGTTGCATCTTGGTAGAAATCTGAAGACAAACTCAAACATCTATTTTTGTTTTTCTCTTACTGATACTCATGACATTTATATTTTAACTTTTTTTTCCATAATTTCAGTACCACCCTGATGTCAACAAGGAACCGGGAGCAACTGAAAAGTTTAAGGAGATTAGTGCTGCATATGAGGTATGTGTAAGAAATCAAATCCAAAATTTGTCTGTGAATTTTCAAGACAGCATGTTGACTGAATTGCGGTGTAGGATCACACTTGATGAACTTTATGGTTCATGCATTCCAGTCCTTCATTACATGTCTGGGCTGGTTTCATTACTGATAATGTTATTATTAAACCATGTCATGCATCTTTGCTAGATTTCTTAACTTTTTTGGGAAGGGTACCGAATGGGCTACTGTATTTCTACTTTCATCCTTATTTATCATTCATGGATCTGATACCAAGCTGGGTTGATGATAATTCCTAGTCAAGCTTTTTTTTAGTAGACATATGCTAATTATCTGATATCTTGATTTTTGTCTGGACTTATAATATCTGATTTTTACTTTTGAAGCTTAATGTTGAAACTCTATTGTTAGCGTAATTTGTTGCATTACGGTTTTTGCTCATCCTCATTTTATCCATTACAACCCCTTTTTCCATTATCTTACTAATTACGCAAGAAACTTCTGGTCTATATCAATTATCTTCATTTTACTTCTGTTGGTATATTTTTCTTCCATGGTTGCTTGCTTGAAGTATATTTTTTCTCTTGAAGCTTTTGCATTTATCACGTTGTCTTTTGAATTTTGAAGTACAACATTGTCAGGTGCTATCAGATGATAAAAAGAGGGCTCTGTATGATCAATATGGTGAAGCTGGAGTTAAGAGTACAGTAGGGGGGCCTTCAAATGCTTATACGGTATTGCATCAAGTTTTGTTCTTTAGTTCTTTCTTTGTTTGATTGTTTTTGTGATAATAATCTGGTGAAAAGTTGGTATATCTCAGGAGTTAACTAGGTTCCCTGTCCGGTACATCATGGGGTGTCATGCATATATATATATATATATATATATATAGTTCTTTCTTTGTTTGATTGTTTTCCTGATAATAATCTGGTGAAAAGTTGGTATATCTCAGGAGTTAACTAGGTTCCCTGTCCGGTACATCATGGAGTGTCATGCATATATATATATATATATATATATGCAAACATTTTACTAGGAAATGACAATGGATCTCACCTTACAAACGACTATGCTACTAAGCTAGGTTGCACACATCCTCTACATGACTATAAAGTTAACTGCATCTTACAAAATTATTTTTCCTTCTGCAGACTAATCCTTTTGACCTATTTGAGACATTCTTTGGGCCGAGCATGGGTGGTTTTCCTGGCATGGACCAAACTGGGTTCAGGACACGTCGTCGTACTACTGTTACTAAGGGTGAAGACATACGGTAAGTTAATATTTGTGTCTCATCAGTTTTTTTTTGTTATGCTGGCTGCTATTAGAGTTCATAAGTAGCTTGAAATGGTACTGTCTTTTGTTTCATCTGATGTAGACTGGATGTGTAGTAGCATACCAATGGTGCAATCCAGTTCAGTTACAGTAAAAGACTTATCTTTTAACACAGCTAAACCCGGGCTTGTTAATTGTAGTCTAGGTTCATTGATGTCTCTACTTAGTTTAATGCAACATGTACCTCCCCAGTGAAAGAAAGAAAATACAGATCAGGGGAAAAGAAAATAAGAAAATTACAGACACATAGACTCCACACCGTGCATATGTATAAGGGCTCTACCAGCTAATTGGGTCTATTTTTTTTCCCTGTATTTAAGAGTAATTGGTTTTATCGCAAAACAGAAGTTGATGATTGAATAACAAGGATTGGAGTAAAATGGTGCTCAAATGACCTCTTATTTTGGGGTTAAGGTTTTCCTTTGGATAACGTTGACCTATCGAAGGTGAAATGAAGAAAAATGTGTTTGATAATATCAAGCTGGATGCTATATAAATTGATATAGCTTGCCTATTAATTCCTTATCCTTTCTTCTCTCTATCCCTTTTTTTTTTTTTTTCCCTTTTGTTTGTAACTGTTATATTTGAGCTAATATGAAACCAATATCCATTTTTTAAATTGTGGCTGATTGGTTGGGTGAGTTTTTCCACATTAGCTAAGTTAAGCTGACATCAGCCATAAAGTAGCCTAGCGAGAGCCATATATTTTGGGTTTTGATTTCGAATTTGTAACTAGAGTCATTTTGGCTAAGTACAAGTTTACCCAAAGGTTGTTCCCTTGTGCACAACAAATGACATTATAACTGAAGGATCATGGTTGGGTGAGTGGTTGATGCAATAATGCAGTAACTTCTGTTGTTTTGTCTTCCTTCAAGCAAGTCAAAAGCATGCGTGACTCTCATATTGAGCAAGATGGAGGCTTTAGTGGTCTGCTGTTGCAAGTTTTCCAGACACAATTCTTAAACAATATCACAATAACTCTCTCTCTTTTTCCCCATTCTCTTGAACTTTTGATTAGCTTTCTTTGTAATGGGAGTTTTGTTATCTCAAGTTTGGAATGTTTTGGCCAGCTTTCTGAGAGCTGATATCAAAGTGACATATTTCTAAATTTCAGCCAAATCATCGTTGAATCATATCAACACAACTTGTCTTTTAAAATTTCTAGCATTTTCTTTACTGGAATTTCCTTTATTTAGCATGTCCTGTTCCATGATAACCTTGGTACTGTCTGATTTATTTCTTGAATTGTGGAAACAAACGTAGCAGATCTGCACAAGTGGCTTTTATAACGATGTAGGTTCATACATTGATTTCAAATGACACTTGATTCTTGTAATAGTACCTTGTTAAGGCTGCTGTGTGTAAAATAATATTTCCTGGTGTTTGATAGTCCTAAAAGTTTATACTGGAATTGCTGCTGATTGGTTACAACTAAATACATTGTTGCAGCTATGACATTAGTTTAGAATTTTCTGAGGCTATATTTGGAGCTGAAAAGGAGTTTGTGCTTACTCATCTGGAGACATGCGAAGTTTGTGCTGGTACTGGATCAAAGATGGGCTCCAAGATGAGGATATGCGCAACCTGTGGTGGCAGGGGTCAAGTTATGAGAACTGAGCAAACACCCTTTGGCTTGTTCTCACAGGTAATAGGTCGTACTTGTTTTGAGCTTTCTGGACTGTTCATCAATTGCTATTTTAACATGGCCCCAGAATTTGTAAATAAAAACGAAATCCTAACGGTCTAATCTAACCTTTTCTTGAAATGGAGCTTTCTCAACATTTTTGTTGCTTACTTCCTCAAGGTTTGAGCATCATTCTGATTATTTGGATAGTTGTAAAAACTATAATTATTTGCCTGCTATTAAAATGAATGGAAAGTTGGTGCTTTGATTTTACATGTAATTCATTGAGGTAAGCTCCTTTTCCACAAAATAGCAGCCTAAATCCATGCTTTCTCAAAAATAATAATAATAATAATAAAAAAAATTCCTCAAAACAGCATGATTGCAGATCCACGCAAACTGTCATATCTAGTGTGTGGAAATAGGCCAAGTTCGTGGAAATACATTCTATTTCCAGTGAGCTGTATTAATAGCCATCGACAAAAGCAGAATAAATTCTTGCAGGCTTCTTTCTTTGGAAATCATGAAAAAGGGTGGGCATTGACTGAATCGACAGATGGGAAGGTACACAATGAATTCTCATGTGATAAAGGTAGCAACAGCAGCGACAGTGAGCAAAACATTGGTTATATGGCTTGACAATATGCTAGAAATAGCAGTGGCACTTCACTGGAGGAGTGATGTTATTTGGCTTAAAAACTTTTCTATGGTAAAACTATATGGGAAAAGAAACCACATGGACATAATGTGGAATGAGTTGGTAACTTCATGCATTGCATAACACAAAAGAGGTCTAAAATAAAATGGAATTCCAGAATCGTTCATAGAAACTTGATAAGTTCATAAATTTGTGATTCAATTTATTTTTCTTTATTTTCCTTGTATTTTGCTTACAACAATTTTTATGAGGAGTTTATTATGATTTATTCTTCACAAGTTCTATCTTTCTTTATCCCCCTTTTGAATTGCAATACCCATCCTTTTATGTGTATTAGGTATCTGTCTGTCCCAGTTGTGGTGGGGACGGTGAAGTCATTTCTGAATACTGTCGAAAATGCTCTGGCGAGGGATGTGTGCGTGTTAAGAAAAATATCAAAGTCAAGGTTCCTCCTGGAGTTGGTGCAGGCAGTATTCTCAGAGTAGCTGGAGAGGGTGATGCTGGACCTAGAGGGTATGTTGATTGAATGTCTATTTGTATCTTCAAGCTTCCCCTTGTTCTTTAGTAAATAATTGCAAGTTTTTCTTTTTTTGTCCGTGCAAGATGCATGTACTTTTGATTAAAGCTTATCAAATATATACATGACTTATTGTAAATGGCTATAGCAAACAAATGGGTGATAATTAATTGCTAAGAGGAATCAAGAATTAAACTCACAAGCCAAATGGTAAATTATACTGTGCCCTAAAGCATCATATATCAGTCTTAAGATGAAACGGCGAATTGCTTGTTGATGTGGTGGCTGATATTCTAACCTAATGAATCAACTTGAAGATGATTCATCATTCAGAGCTATGTGCTTTATTTGAAATCAAATCTTTTCCTTTTCCTTTCCGAATTATGTGCTTAAATACTTGTAAATGTTATTCATGTACTCTGGTGTGTTTTTAGATCGATTTGTTGGCATCCTGCTGATTCACTTCATTGCACGATTTGAAATTGTTGTAATTGTCTTCATTGCAGCAAGGTTACTAACAGGTGCTTTTTTTTTTAATGGGCTAATAGATATGTGTTTCATTGGTCAGCATTTTTGGGACATTTTGAAATCATTGGTTTGGCATTGCTGAGATCCTGAAACTTGTTTGATCGGCTATAAAGAATTAAATCAACAGTAGCTGTTCGAAATTAGTAATTTTTAGAACTGCTGTTCACTCTTATGATAGAAATATTCAACTAATCAGTGTTTTCCCATCTTTCCTCAGAAATCAAGGATGGTAGGCTTGTCCATTGCTTGATGATAAAAAGAGCTTTTCCTAACAAATTAGAAAGCAAATTAACAATTTACAACTGTGCATGTCTATTCATGCTACAAATTATAAAGTGGCCCCTTGAATATAATGTAGGCTTCAAGATTCTTTTAAAACTGTTCTTTCTTGTCTCTAGAACAGATGATTCATGTAATATTTATCAAGACCTTCAACTCGTCATCTTTCTATGTTTGTTATGCCATTTCCTCGTGATGATGTAGAATGCATGGAGGAAATTGATCAAAAAGATTGAAACCTAGAAGCCACTGTGCTATTGAGAATCCACTAGCCTAAATCCTAAAATTCACAAGATGCTTCTTGAATTTACAATAAACTATGCTCTTGAAATCAACTAAAAAGAAATAAAATTTTAACAATCTCCAAAATACATAGAATACGTGTGTTTATGCAATATACGAGCACACAATAACGCTAAAGAGTCTTAATTTAAATAGAAAATAGACTAACACTTCTAATCAATAATTAATTGATGAAATAAACTTGTTTCCCAAATAACAATAAAAATTCCTAAATATAAAATTATGAATAAGTCCATAAAATGTCTTCTCCTTGCATTGCATCAGCTCACCTTTTCTCTTTCTTTTGTGTTCACCTCTGCATGATTTTCTTAAGTATAACAACTAATTACATAATGTTTCTATGTAACTTTCCTTCAAAAGGGATACTTTTTCTACATGTATATCTTCCGAAGGTTCCATACTGAATACGATTCTAAATCAGTAATTGATTTTGGTTTTTGCAGTGGCTCTCCAGGTGATCTTTATGTGTATCTTGATGTTGAAGAGATAACAGGAATCCAAAGAGATGGCATTAATCTCATCTCAACAATATCTATCAGTTACATTGATGCAATACTGGGGACTGTTGTTAAGGTTATATTTTTATCGTCTCAGTTAAAAATGTTATGCGTGCCTGAATTTTTTACTTCTGGTCTTCTTAACTAGTGATAATTATCATATTTATGACACATTAAACAGATAAAATATTCAGTTTGTGCATTATTGCAAAAGATTGAAGATTTCAACAGGGCATATAACACATCATTTAAGTTTTAAACTTTAGAAAATTTTGCTTTTGCTTAGTAGTGGAACTACAACTACCTCAATTGTAGAGTGTGACCCTTTTCACTGTCACAATCTAGACCTTTTTGAAGATGCTCTTTTTATTGGCCAAAATCAACACGATTACCAGATTCCAGAGGATTTGTAAAATTATAAAGACCTGCTGGTGGGGCTTTTTTTATTTTTTATCTTTTTTTTTGGTAGAGTGTCACCTTGACATGGTGGAAGTCATCAGTTCGAGCCTGATTATCGCTAAACCAATTTGAGTTTTTCTATTGGGTTTCACAGTAAAACTTATGTTGTTTGATTGTTTAAATGGTTCGTCAATGCTGAGCTCGGGTACAGTTGGTCAACTTTTAGGGAAGTTTTGCATACATAAGAAGAGAAACTTCTATTGTTCTTTTTTGATAAAATGTTGAAACCACATTTGAAGGATGGTTCAATGGAGCTAGAATCTTCTTTCGTGCATAAATGTATGCAAATGAGATTCAGAAGCTACACGACCTTGCCAACTTCATCCATTTATTTGTTTCCTCGAAATTTCTAGAAAGCAATGATTGTCCAAGTGGATTGGTGTAGCAAACACACAGATCCATGCCTGGAATGATTCTAGGGTTGATTAGAGACCATTATGCTTAAATAACTCAATTTTAACGCCATCTTTTAGTTCTTTTATTTGCAAAAACAATTTTCTAATTTAGTCCTTTGACTCTCTGCATATACTCTCTTCATATTTAGTTTGTCAGCATACAATGTTCAGAAGGCTACATAACACAAAATCTCTGTGTACACTGAATTGTGATTTTGGCATTTGAAACAGGTGAAAACAGTTGAAGGAATAAGCGAACTTCAGATTCCACCTGGTACACAGCCTGGGGATGTGCTAGTCCTGGCTAAGAAAGGTGCACCTAAACTGAATAAACCATCCATACGTGGTGATCACTTATTTACTATTAAAGTTGCAATACCAAAGCGTATAAGGTATGGACTTATTTTCTGTATACCTTCTGGTCGATATCACCATAAAGTAGCTAATCATTATTGTTATGTTTTACTTCTTATTCTCAGATGCAATTTTTTTTTTTTTAAGTTTTCACTTTGGCTATACATGTTGCTTTGGCTTTAGTTTATGCTGTATGATGTTTATAACCCTTTTTCAATTTCAATATTTTAACCATTAAAATGGTGATTTAGGTTTCTGCTTGTCTGAAACTTGTGATCAGTTTCTTGATAAGATGGGCTATATAATAGTCGATATGGAACTGATTATGCCTGATTCGGTGTGATTTAAGTTTGATTTATGCATTTTTCTTTTTTATGTACATCGTGAGCTTTGGGTTAAAATGGTGATTAAGGTTTTGACTTGTTTAACAACAATCTGTTTCTTGATAAGGTGGGCTCTATAAGTTCAGTAAAGAACTGATAATCTCTGATTCATTGTAATTATCTTGACTTCTATTTTATTCCTTTCTATGTGACATATTAATGGGTAATTTTTGCTGTATTTATTTTATCTTCACATATATGTATATTTATTACTGAGCTTGACTGGTGACTAATGCTTAAACATAGCGCTTAATTGCAGCTCTGTTGTTATAAACTCCTCTTCTCATTTAGTTTGATACTTTCTTGTGATCATATGTTGGTGTTAATAATTTGCATCTTTACTTACAATCAAAAAACGTAATTTACATCTTTACTTGAGCTTAACTCCAAAGTGTTGCATATGTTTACCAGTGCCAAGGAGCGTGAATTGCTTGAAGAACTTGCTTCACTGAGTAATAATAAAACCAGTCGATCACGAACTCGGCCCAAAACTCAGCCTGCCAGTAAGCAATTGTTTGCTATTTGTAGATGATATCATGTTTTCAACTTCACCAAGTTTTTGATATTTGTAATTTGCCTAATTTATGTTTTTCTGAAATAGTGGCAAAAATAACATATTCCTTGGGTATCTGAAACATGCATCAACATAATGAATATTGTTTTTCTGATTGTGAATGGAGGGAAGTAATATTCCTATATTTTATTTTACCTTTATTAACATTCATTGTCTGGTGTAATGCAAGATGAGTATGGCCATTGTGTTTTGTTTCTGCAGCCAGAGGCGGGGAAAGTGAGGAGAAAACTGTTTCTGAGAGCACTGAGGAATCAGGAGATCAAAATGACCCATTGCAGAAGTTAAAAGATTTTGTGGGGTAATATTTTTATTTATATCTTTTTAACCTGCTGAATTTCATCACTGTATACTGCATTTTTCTGTTGGTTTACTTGAGCTTCAACGCTTGCTGCTTCATATTTCTTAGGAGCCATTGTCACCTGCCCTTAGTGACCTATTCTTTCGATTCTTAAGGATCGGGAGATCAAAATGACCTATGCTGCTTAAAACTTTTGGCTAGATTATGGAAGCACCAATACTTACGAAAGTTCTGCCCCTGTCTAAATATTTGACCGAATTCATATTGCTAGGCTCTGTATTTTCAAAAGGAAATCATTAACTGCACTACCATACGAAGCCCTGCAATTTGGATTAGTTATTTCTGTCATGTTGATTTCCTTCTGTATTTATTTCAGCAGGTCTTTTGTTTTTTCTTTCTGTCTTGTACATGCTCCCACTGGAAATGAATTATAACACATATTGATAGATTTTTAAACGCATTAACCCATATAAGCAACGACGTTTACAGGTCTGTTGCAAATGGCGCTCTGAAATGGCTGAAAGATAACCTCTAAGTTGGCGAAATCTGAAGTCACTAGTAGCAGCCTGAGTTTCACATTAGCCGTAGATTTTTTGTACCATTTAGCTTGAAGGACCGAGTAATCGTTACTCTGATTGCTTAAATAGACATCTCTCGGCATTGTGTTGAAGAAAATTCAATGACACCCTGGTGGATATTCTTTCATTTTTTTCCCCCTTGTAAATTTTACTCTGGCGAATTGATGTAGGTTTCAATCTTCAACTGTAATAATTCTACTCTATGAGCGGGTTAAAGCAGCAACAGCTAGTAAATACAATAATTTCTATATTATCACAAAGAAGAAAAGGTATTCTATGAGCAGGTTGAAGCAGCAATGGCCAGGAAATATATTGAGCATTTAAGAGAAGTACAATTGACATCATGAAAATGGCCCAGTGATCCCTGCCTTTTTGGTAAATGCCACCATTGGCAAATTGGAGAAGCGAGGACAAATGTTTCTGATAATTCAATGGGTTTTCTATGTAGTCGGTCCCCGTACTAGTAGCAAATGTTTAATTGGGTCCCTCTACCAATATAATATAGCATTGTATCCTTCTACAGCAAAGTTTTGTTCAATGTCAGCCCTCCATCTGTCTCCGTTAGTTGACTCCTCTAGGAGTTAACTGCTGATGAATTATATAATGACACATGGCATGAATTTTTATTTTTTTAACAACAATTCTTTTGGTTTAATTACAACAACCAATTTTATGAATAAAAGAAAAAAATATATATATATATATATATATACACATAAGAGGAAAAAAATACCTACATAAATTCACAATTCACTCCTTTTTTTTTTTTTTTGATCCTGCAATCCAAACCTAGGTTTTGAACCAAACATAACGTATTAAAAAGAATCAATTTCAAATAAACAAGTTCTACATTCACAAATTGACATTTTAATGATCTTAGTTTGAACACAAATTTTAAAATTAACATTTTAAAACAAAGAATAAAAAAATATATGGAAAACACAATAAGTCATATCAACTGTTTGGATGAACAAATGTTCAAAAAATTCACTGTACAGTTTTAATACTACAACACTTCAGCATTACTGTCTTAAATAGAAATCCGCAGTATTATTATTATTTTTTTAAGATTTAAGATTTGGAGAAATTTTAAATTTTTAAATATTTTTCTTTTCTTTTCTTTTATTCTGCAAATTCATCTATATTGAAAAGGAGATTCCATGCCATGTGTCACGATATAATTCTTCAACAGTTAACTCCTAACGGAGACAGGCAAAGGGACTTAATAAAACACTTGCTACTAGTAGAGGGACGGACCAACAGTATTGAAAGCCCATAATTCAATAGCAAACCACACCTCCTATGGCTGTGGCATGTGGGGACTCCATAAATTTTATAATACTTAATAAATAATTAGTAATATATAAAATAGTTATTTTATATATTGACTTTTAAAAAAATAAATATATAAAAAAAATATAAGGGAAAATTTGAAAAGAAATTAGTCAATGTAGAAAATTTTTATCACTCTTGATAGATTTAAGTGTAATTTTTTTTTTTATCTATCTTTCTCTTCAAAATAAATATATAAAATAAAGTGCTACATGACATCAGTAATGTCAAAAAAAAAATCTTTATAATTTTATAAGATAGTTTTTTTTTAAAGGGATACAAGGAAGGAAAAAAAGATATTTAATTTTCAATGAAGTTATTATATCATTTTAACTTTTCAAGTTTATCTCTAAAAACTTTATATTTTTAAAAATGTTATCTATCACCATGCTATCGTTAAGTATTTTTATAAACTAATTATTATATATATCACTAATTATTTTTAAAATATTATAAAATTTATCGGCAGACTCGGGACTGGAATCCAAAGTCCAAACATGGCAGAATCCCGTGAAAGACATTAATGCTCTCTCAAAATTCCATGCATTAATTTCTGTTCTTCCCTTTCTCGTGAACCCATAATTAGCCTTCACTCCACGCACCAACCTGTCCTACTGCCAGTCGCCACTATATTTCTCATTAAATCCCTCTGCCTAGCCAACCCTATTTAAGCTTAAGCCTTCGTAGATTACACACTCCATAACACACTTCCTATCAAAATGGCAACATGTTTCTCCCCACAGGCACAAACACTTATAGTGGCATTCATGATGTCTCTTCTGTTACCACTCACCACGTCTTTCACCGTCATCGTGTCAGATTCCGGCAACCAATCGGCTCTGGTAGATGGACCGCAATCTGGGTTTATGATGAACAAGAATGGGGCTCGGACTGAGGCTCGTGAGCAAGAAGCGGTCTATGACATAATGCGGGCCACCGGCAACGATTGGGCGACCGACATCCCCGATGTTTGCCGTGGCCGGTGGCATGGCATTGAGTGCATGCCGGACAAGGACAATGTGTACCATGTTGTTTCGTTATCGTTTGGTGCATTGTCCGATGACACAGCCTTCCCTACTTGTGACCCAACAAAGTCTTACATTTCGAAGTCTATCACTAAGCTTCCCCACATTAGAACTTTGTTTTTTTACCGCTGTTTTAGTTACAACCCACAACCCATTCCTTCGTTTTTGGGCCAATTGGCCCCAAGCTTGCAAAACTTGGTGCTTAGGGAAAACGGGCATGTGGGCCCTATTCCCACTGAAATAAGCAATCTCACAAGTTTGAAGGTTCTTGATCTCCACAAGAACAACCATAACGGTTCAATTCCTGTTTCATTGGGCCGGTTGGCCGGCCTAAGGTCGTTGGATTTGAGCGGGAATAAACTAACCGGTTCAATCCCCGGTTTCAGCTTCCCTGTTTTAAATGTTTTGGACTTGAGCCAAAATCTACTTATGGGTTCAATCCCACCCACTCTTGCCTTTTGCCCCTCTCTAATCAAAATTGATTTTAGCCGCAATCGTCTCAGTGGTTCCATACCAGAATCATTTGGTGGCCTTAAAGAACTCATTCTTATGGATTTGAGCTACAATCGGTTGTCGAAACCGCTTCCAATATCCATTAGAAGCTTGAATTCTCTCGAAGCATTGATTCTAAAAGGAAATCCAATGGGGGCTACTACGCTTGCTAGAGAAGAATTTGATGGTATGAAGAGTCTTATGACTTTAATTCTATCAAATACAAATTTGCACGGTCCAATCCCCGAGTCACTAGGCCGGTTAACAAGCCTCCGGGTCATTCATCTTGATGGGAACCACTTAAATGGTTCAATTCCTACAAACTTCAAGGACTTGAAAAATCTTGGTGAACTAAGACTAAATGATAATCAACTAACCGGGCCGGTTCCATTTGGAAGAGAAATGGTTTGGAAGATGAGAAGGAAGCTTAAACTTCACAATAACACAGGATTATGTTATGATGCTAACAGTGGTTTTGAAGATGGCCTGGATTCTACGTTTGATTCGGGTATCGGTCTATGCAACTCGCCCGAACCCAGTTCAGCAAGGACAGTGCAACATCTTTCTGCAATTGATGGGGCGATTATGCCAAGTACAACTAAAGAATCCTCGGCTGCAGTTCATGAAGCTTCAGTTATTGTTAGGTTGCTTCAACAAACAATAGCTATTGTGTTTTTTTTAATTTTCATTTCAAGGTGAGAAAAAGAAGACATGTAAAATATTGTATCATAAATAAGTTAGGTTGTAGTGTACTATTGCTGTTGAAAGAAATATCTTCAGGCTGCGTATGCCTCTATATCATACTATGGTAACCTTCAGCTATATTTATATGCTTGTCCAATTCAAATAATCACTACTACGTTCTATCTCAATTTGAGCATGGCAATAGGGATCCATGGTGGATTATTTCTCATGATACAAGGAAACTAACATCCTGCCATGAAAGATTTTCAGTCCTTTACTTAATCATCACAACTAGTTAATTAAAAATATCTAGCATAAAGCTTAATTTGGAATAGATTATGTAACAAAGGTTCGGAAGATTGGGGCAGAATGATTATAGAGGCTGCAATAACTTGTAAGGAATCACCTGTAGGGTTGTGGGGCTTCAAAGAATGATCCTCTCCACTTTCTGTCATAACTTCACTGACAGACAACTAGCTTTAGACATGAAGATTCTGAAAATTGATCCAATTAGAGAGAACCATGTTCTCTTGAATGATCATCACATCTTAAATGTGCAGTCAATAAATGAAGATTTGCATTCTGTTCAATGAAATTTGCAGTCAACTTTCTTATTGCTTCAATCTACCGCTGATTTGAAGAGCCAATCTTGGATGACTACAGATGAGTTTGCAAAATTTAATAATCAAAGTATAGCTTACTCTTGACGACAGTGTGGCTGGTGTTTGTTCCCTGTAAGAAACATATGATCCATGAAGTTAAAGGGGTAACCATGCATCAAGCAAGTTCTAATCTTTGTATTTAAGACATATTGGACAAGTACATGAAAGAATCACTGTATCTACTGACCATTGCTGCGTTGTGTATGATTACCACTACTGAAGCTAAAATACTGGATGAAAGAATCAAAGCTTGTTTCAAAGAGGTGCTAGCTGGGATAAATCCACCTCAACACATTAACTTAAAGTTTTAATCGTATATCACAAAACTTCCATGGAAACGTTTTAATCCCACTAAGTCAAAATTGCTGCTTACCCTATAAATAGACTGCTGAGAACAAGAAAGACTTTGGTGTGATTACAAGAACCCTTAATCCTCTAGAATGCTTAACTGCTTGACTTCAAGTAGGTAATCTGTCTCTCGTGCTGATGAAATTGCAATATCTCAGTATAGTTTTGGAAATTGAATCCCCAAACACATCAAAGACTGACACTGTTTACTTTGCTCATTAATTCAAGTAAAATCGTGTCTTCTAATACAGAGGCATATGAGGGGTCAAGGACTCTAAGCAATTTCCAATGGAAGACTACAAATAAATTTGGCCATCCACAACTTTACTCCCACCTCCAGAAGAAAAGGGTAGGTGTCATGATAAACCTCAGTACAACTGATAACTCTGTAGTAACTATTTGCAGATTCGTTCTTGAGGAATGTGGTTGCTCCCTTTTTTTTTCCCCAACAATGTTGCAGTTGCAACTTCATGTTCATAGAGACAGATTACTATCTGGGCAAATGGGTCGAAGTACATCTCTTAAATACAAGATACACAAGAAAGTGTGTTTTGTCACTCTTGACGACTTTGCTTGATCAAGAGCACGATGGCTACAACTACAGGAGCTGATATCATAATCAGAGCCTGTAAGATGTTTGGTCTTGTTATCTCAGGAAACAGGATGCTTCCATACTTTATTGCAGCTGCACCAGCAAGAGAACCAGCTCCTAGTTTCAATAAATAGTTCCAATCCTCCTGTTTGTAAAACGAAACAAAAACACAGCATCACAAATGGATTTGTGTAGTATTTGAACTTAATGTTATGTGCTTCCACTCTTTTCATATCGGATGCTGTAAAGACTGCATTTACAAAGCACTAAGACCATCATTTCTGACTAAGATCATCTACAATCATACAAAGCAATTGGTAATCAATTTCCAAATTAATAACACCTTACTTCTTAGTCAGTGATTGCTGAGAAGGGGCTTTGCATTACACAAAACCACTTCTTATTATGCAGCAAATTACCAATCAGTTGATATAGAATTTAATGCAAGATACTTTCAGTAATGAACATAACCATATCAGACATGTTGCTCGAAAATGGAAGTTGGGTTATATACAAGGGGTTGCAAACTTCAGCAAAGTAAGAGTAAAGCCCTAATCTCTGCCTGAGTGGTAGGTATAAAATGGCTAAAAATCCTAATTGGATAGGAATTATATCAAGGTAATGAAAGAAATCATCTTTTCTCTAATCTCACCTCATGAAATGAAACCAAACCAAAATCTCTACTGTCACTCCGTGAAAGAAGACTCCAAAGTCTAAAATAACAAGAAACTTGGTAAAAGCAAGCGCTTGTGCTAAATTGAGAAAGAAAGAGAGTAATAAATGGACCTGAGAGACACCACTGGTGGCGTCATTCATGCTGAAAGCTTCTTCTTCTTCTTCTTCTTCTTCTTCTTCTTTTCCTCCTCTTCTTTGAGAATTGGAGGCCTGGGTAGGAATAAACTTTTGTCGCCTGGCAATATTTGATGAAAGCAGAAAATATGGGTTGTTGAGGAAGCTGGAACCCATCATTACAAGCTTCTTTTTTGTTGGGTTAAATCGATGGTGATAAGATGACGAGCAGGAGCTGAGGTTAGGTCTGGGAGGACCTCTGGGTGCTGCTCTACTCGTCATTATTGCCATTATCTATCTCTTTTGCTCTGCCAACGATGCTATTGGTCTGGGAGAGGTGAAAGTTCCGATTTTTGAACAAGCAAGGGTAAACTTCCTTTTTATTCCTAAAAATTCATCGATATTTCCCCTTTAGTCCCTGTTTCTTTGAAAAATTACCTAATACTAGTTTAATACGGCTATACTTTTCCAAAATGTTCCAATATTACCTCTACCATAGGCTGGTCGCATGCACATTGAATTTGATTATAAATCATTTTATTAAACAATATAGAAACCTTACTTTTTTTTTTTTTTTGCTAATTGAATTCAAATTGAAAAATCATGGTTTTTTTTTTATTTTAAAAATTATGATAGTATTTTTTAAAAAATTGTATATTATTATCAAAAATTTGTTAAAACTAAAAATAATAATCGAAACAAATAGACTAAAACGAATATGAATACTATCTCTATTCGACATATATATTATTTTTGTTGAAGTGGAGCAATTCACCAACATGTTTTTTATATTTTTATTTTTTATCATTCTGATTAGTAATTAGACGGATTGTTTACCATTTTTATATATTTTGTGTTTTGGTATCAATAATTAGTTGATGGTTATCTCTTAAATAAATATTAAAATTAAAACTGTTTTCAACATAAATTAACTCTCTTTTTTCTCTCTCCAAATTAACATTCTTGCTTTCTCTTCTTTTCAATTAATTTGTATTATCCATGGTTATTCATGGGTGATTCTACTCCAGCAAAATATGAATACCAAAAGATGGTCGAAATTAATTACTAGGTTTTAAAAAAGACGTATCATGTTCAGGGTTACAAGATTTTAAGAAAAATATATTTTGTTTGGGATGAAAGCCATAATATTTAATTTTTTTTAACAATTATAATTTTAGGATTCGAATTTTACATATTAATAAAAAAATCTGTTAGATTAACACTTTATCGGTGAATCAAAGTTCCATTTTGTAAACAATTGCAACGTTAATCAAGTTTTCATTAACAGCCTTACGTTGGTTAGACTTTAAACAAAACTATCATTTAACTTTTAATGAATTTCTAACTTTATCCTCAATTATTTATATACCCACTTTCTTCTCTATGGTTTAATCAATTATTGGATTTAAAAGAATTGATCCCCATCTTATGGGATCTTTTATAAAATTTATTTTTTAAATCTGATTGTGATGTAGTTGGTAGTTTCTATATTGAATAAAAACAAACTTTTAAATCAGATTACAAATTTGTAATTAAAAAAGAAAAGTGGAAGATTTTGGAAATAGATTTGCGGAATCAAAGCTAATGACATGAGACAAGAAAAGTGGAAGATATACTCTTTCTCTACTAAAAAAATTATCTATTTTTTTAATATATATATCTGTTTCAAAATAATTATTTGGTCAATACTTTAAATAATTAACTTTTTTTAAGATATCCCTAATTGATAAAAAAAAATCAATTATTTTTTTCATTCCACATTCTTCACTAAAAAAATATTCTTTATATTTTTCTCTTGTATATACAAATACATCTAAATTTTTTTTTCTAGATTTTAAAGGAAAAAATTTTATTGTATGAAAAATATTCATTTTTACAAAAACTTTACTGCATACTAAAATTTTAGGAGTAAAATATTTTCATTAGTATGTTATTTTTTTATAATTATTTTAAACTTGATTGTTAATTTTGAAAGAATTTCTTTTTTAATTAATGATTCTATGCAATACAAAATTAAAGTTGATAAGTAAAATTTTATAAAATTAGTATTTTAAAAAGATATGAATAAAAACTATTGATATAGCATAACAATTGATAACTTTTTTAAAAGGTGTAAAAAGTCAAAATAGATAAATTTTTTTTAGAATTATGAAATATTATATTTTAAAACCACGATATCCTTCATAGTTCTTATTAAAAAAAAGTCCAACAAGTATGGAAACTAATTTGGAATTTTCTTGAATAATTATGTAGATTTTACTTATTCTTCGTTACCTTTTTTCTTCAATCAGTAAAAGTATGACTTGGAATGGTAGCTTTCATTTCATTGAAGCTCAACACGTGGAAAGCTTTTTGTGAAAGGAAAACGTCATTTAAGCAAATTGATATTTGCATCCACTATACAAGGTTGAAAAAAATTAATTATGACGAGATGCTTCTTCTTTATACGAGTTTTTCAAGATAATTATGTTTTGTAGGAATTTCTCAACTACATCATTTAATCTGTTTAGAAAAAAACTAGGTAATAAAACTAAATTAATATTTATTAAATTACTAAATTAATAGGATAATCAATAAAAACAAAACAAATTAGTATTATTAATTAAGCACGTCTGCTCCTAGAAAATTAATACTCTCTCAATCCATATATATATATAGATATATATATATATATATTAAAAATGTCATTAATTGATATATTAAAAATGTCATTATTTTTTATCCATATATATTTTTTAAAATTTCCCTTTTAGTTATAAATTCCTTCACAATAAGTTTTAATTAAATATTATAATAAAAAAACATGATTTAAATATCTTAATTGAACAAACAAAAATAAAAGCAGGGGATTAGTTTTTTATCCTCCAAATGGGTTTTTTTAGGAAAGCATTTGGAACGAAATTAAAGAAATAGAGATGAATTGTTACAACAGTAATTTTTACCAAAGCAATTTTTAAGGATATAAAATTGTTTTTTAAAGATGTGTGCTGTATTCACAAATTAAAAGATTAAATATTAGTGGGGAAAAAGAGAAACTCATTAAATTATCAATAATAATTGGAAAAAATAATTAAAAATTAACTTGAAATGTAGTTTGAATAAGAAAAACAAAGAAAGAGAAAAAAAATTGCTTGAAAAATAAACATTACTCCCCTTGCTTGGATGGTAGTAATCACCACCTTAATTTTGATAGATTTTCTTTTTTAATTAATGATTCCATGCAATGCAGTTGATAAGTAAAATTTACAAAATGAGTATTTTAGAAAGGTATGAATAAAAAATATTGATATAGCATAACAATTAATAACTTTTTTTAAATGGTGTGAAAAGTTAAAATAGATAACTTTTTTTAGAGTTATGAAATATTATATTTTAAAACCACAATAGCCTTCATGGTTCTTATTAAAAAAAAAAAAAAATCCAATAAGTATTGAAATTAATTTGGAATTTTCTTGAATAATTATGTAGATTTTACTTCTTCTTCGTTACCTTTTTTCTTCAATTAGTAAATGTATGACTTGGAACGGTAGCTTTCATTTTATTGAAGCTCAATACGTGGAAAGAGGAAAACACCATTTGGGATTAGATTTTACCAAAAAGCTTAAATTTTAACCCCCTTAAAAAAAAAACCTTTTTCACAAGGGCAATATTTAAACGATTAAATTATAAATTAGTCCTTTTTTTTAACAAATCAATCATTCTCTCCCATTTTAAAAAATTATTATTTAATTTTTATATTTTTAAATTTACTTATAATTTAATCCATTTCATTCTTTTTTAATTTATTTTAATTTTTTTAAGAAATTTAAAAAATAAAAAAATATGAAAAGATTATGAAATTTTTTTTTATAAAATAAAAATAATATTAAATTAAACATTATCAACATTGATAGAAAGATTTAATAATATTTTTTAAAAAATTAATTAATTTATTTGTTGAAACTAGAGGTGCTAATTTATAATTTGCTTTGTTAATACCCCTACCAACCACCTGTAGAGGTTAGATTTTAATTACGAAATAAGAGGGTTAGATGAGATAAACAAAAGAAAAATGGTCGGGCTAGTGTACGGTCTAGCTTATGCTATCCATTTATATACTTCACTCGGTTTTCACTACGGATAAAAGCGGGGGTTGAGACTGGAGATAAGAGAAAGAAAAATGGTGGTGAAGGTGTACGGTCCAGCTTATGGTTCTCCAAAGCGGGTGCTTGTGTGTCTTGTTGAGAAGGATATTGAATTTGAGACGGTACCTGTTGATCTCATCAAAGGAGAGCACAAAAGCCCTGAATTTCTAGAGCTACAGGTTAAGTAATTGCCCACATACAGTATTTCTCTTGCTCACTTCACTTGTATTCATCTTTGATTCAAGTAATTAGTAGTTGTTTTGGTATTAATTGCTCGCAGCCTTTTGGAGAACTTCCTGTGATTCAAGATGGAGATTATACTTTATATGGTGATTAACTATTCTGATTTGTTAGTTCTCTTTTATATTATTATTTCTTGATGAAAGGAATTATATGTGTGTATATGTATATATGCATGCAGAATCAAGAGCAATTATAAGGTATTATGCAGAAAAATACAAGTCTCAGGGGACAGATTTGCTGGGAAAAACCATAGAAGAAAGGGGCCTTGTGGAGCAGTGGCTGGAGGTGGAGGCACATAATTATCACCCACATGTTTACAACTTGACGATTCACATCCTATTTGCCCCTGTCTTAGGCTTTCCTCCAGATGAAAAGATCATCAAAGAAAGCGAAGAAAAACTTGCAAAGGTGTTGGATATTTACGAGGAGAGGCTCTCGAAGAGTAAATACTTAGCTGGTGATTTCTTTAGCCTTGCTGACCTTAGCCATCTCCCGTTCACTCACTACTTGGTTGGCTCGATCAAGAAAGAGTACATGATAAGGAGCAGGAAGCATGTCAGTGCATGGTGGGATGATATTAGCAACAGGCCATCTTGGAAGAAGGTTTTGACTTTTGGTTTCCCTGCTCTAAAGACTCTCTAGCAAGGAACGCAGCCCACTCCATCTGGATAACTATGAGCTCATCTTTGAATAACGTATCTTTGAATAACGTTTGGGACTATCTTTCTTTCTTTTGTTTGTCGTGTAAGGGTAATTTCCATTAGCTCATCTTTTGAATAATGTTTGGCACTATCTTTCTCTTTCTTCTGTTTATCGTGTAAGGGTTTTGCCTTTTTCAATTCCCATGAGCTCATATAGTCTCCATAAAAACTAAAGTTTGGTTTGGCTTGTATCTTTTCCCACAAACGTCATTTTCATGTCCATGCCATGTCGCAAATGTTGAATAAAAAAGATACAAGGTTTAATTATAAATTTTATCCTCGTTTTATTACAATTTAATAATTTTAAATATATAGTATCAAATTACATAATTTGAATCCTAAAAAATTAAAAATTAGACAAATATGATCTAAATTGTACAATCTTCGTTATGTGTAAAGATCAATTGAATTGATCTGTTACTTGAAATGTTAAAACAACGTTATTTTGATGTTTCATTATTAATTATTTTTTTAAAAAAATATTTTTAACCCTCTAATCTTGATTTGTTTTTAAAAAAATTTATTAAATATTTTATAAATAATATAAAAAGTATTTTATAAATATTTTCAACCCTTAATTTTGATTTTTTTAAAAAAAATAAAATGTTGTTGTAAAAAAACGTAATTAACAATACATAATTTCAGGCCTTCAAAAAATATTTTTATAAATTAAAATAAGTATAATTAAGAGTTGACCTCCTTAATTTTATAATTTATATAAAAAAATGTTTTTTTATATAATTTATAAAATGAACATTTTATGAGGAAATTTTTTTTCTTAAAAAAAGTTCAAGATTAGGAAGCTGAAAATATTTTTTTTAAAAATAAAACGTAATTAACGGTAAAATGTCAAAACCACGTCGTTTTAGTATTCCAAGCAACTCGTAAACTAGTTTGACTATTATATAACGAAGATTAGATAATTAGATTATATTTACCCAACCTCCAACACTTTCATATTCAAATTATGCAATTTGATAATATAAGTCTCCAATTGTCAAATTGTTTGAAATAAAATGGAGGCAAAATTTTTCATGAAACCAAAGATATAGTTATGTTAAAAAGACAATGCCTTCATGATGAAAAGTTGAACCCCGCATAAGAATTTTTCTTAGGGTTTATCTTATAATTAGTCTCTGTACAGTTTTAATTTTTTTGATTGAGATCCTTTATTATTTTTCAATTTGATTGAAATCTTTTACTTTTATAAATTTATTGATTGAAACTCTCCGTTATAACACTCGTTCACTATTTATCCCACGTGACGTTTTAAAAATGATAGTAGCCAATCGAGAACCGACATGGAGAAATGTCGATCAAAAATTTTTATCACTTGTCGTTATCCGATTGATTACCGTTAGTTTTAACTTACCACATATGATAAATAGTTAAGAACATTATAAAAAGTTGTCTCAATCAACAAATTTGTAAGAGTAAAAGATTTCAATCAAATTGAAAAATAATAAAAAATATCAATAAAAAAATTGAAACCGTACAAAGACTAATTATGGGATAAACCCAAATTATTACTTAGCAGCAAGCTTGAAATATATCGTTTTGGGGTAAAAAACCCTTCGTCCATATTAGGGCCAAATGTGAAGAATCAAACTTCTCCAATAGACATCACGCCTGCAAGACTTCAACCTAAGAAGTAAGGCCGAAATATGATAAACTATTGGAATCAATTGTCACCATGAACAACAGTTTTAGAGCGGATGTGTGCAAATACTTTTGACTACGTCACTTATATAGGACAAAAATAATGTTACACCTTTAGCACCTACAAAATTATGTGCAAGAACTTCTGCATTTACAATATGACAGTAAGCTCCTACCTATTGTTAAATATACAATCCAACGTGGAGAAGTTATTTCCATATCCTTGCATATTATCTTTCTAAAAATTTGCTCAGAACAGTTTTTCTCAAAGGAACTTCCTCTTCCTCATTCTCGCCGTCTTTATCAGACTTCAAATGCATGTTTAGAGCACACCGGATTACTGAATTGACCTGCATCCTCAATCTGGCATTGTCGATGAAAGTTTCTGTGAGCAACTTCCTCAACTCATTGTCCCTTCTATCAACGCCATTTGTATTGTGAGTTTCATCCAATCTTGCTGCAGAGTTTTCTAAGTCCTGTGCCAGGAGCTGTGCCTGCTCAAGTGCATGAAACATATGCAAGCATGCAAAGGTTAATATAACCTAGATTGCAAGAAATTATAAGAAAAGGAAGTTAACAGGAAAACCAGAGTCAGTCTATAGTATGCAGAGGAAGGAACACCAGCACAGAATTTGTACATGAAACGCTTTTGTATTTCCTAGTACCCCTATAATACACCGAAGACACAATGTTGGATCAAGAATCTTGACACATTATGCTGCAATTGTAAATAGTGCAGATTTTAAAACTTTTCTGCTTTATGTATAGCATCATCACCTAACGCCAGCATCCAATTTGTACTTTTTGCCCAAAAACAGGTACTTTCAACGGTTTGTTTTTTCATATTATTTGTAAATTCACCTCCCATGCCTTTATCCATCATGTTCGGGTCCTGCCACGATGAATGGATAGAATTTTCTCACGCAGCAGCAACTACCTAAAGTGTTCTTCTTTCTCTGGATGGGCACATCTTTTCTACATACTGTTCTTCATTTTTCATATAGATTACAGCTCGTATCAATCAGTTGAAGAATAAAGGTTCCAAAATAGCAACAAGAAGAAATATAGAGAAGGATACCACCACCAAGAATTTAAATGTTCACAGAACAATGACAACTCCCACAGCATTCCAAATCACTATCTGCGCACCTCTATTCTTTCATCCAAACATCACAAGCAAGGAACCATTGATTCAAAGAATAAGAATAATGGTTTAACCATTTGTTTTAGTTCACCCAAGTGGATGAGAATAAGTCCGTTGTCAATCAAACCAACACCCCATGCAAATTCATCCAGAAATGCACAAATTTAAATTATATACATGCAATGTAAATGCATGCATATAAGGTACTGTAATTGACATCAGAAAGAAACAAGCAAAGCTATTTTGTGGGGAAAAGCACTTGCTTTGAATGAGCTAGTCCAAACACTAAATTTCAATAAATGTTGGCTCCAAACTCTAAAGCTGCCAACATATGCAGATAAGATTCAAGGTGGAAAGATTTACTCATTCCAGGGTAATGAATAAAATGTGGAAGTTACCTCTGCAAGAAGGAGACCAATTCGATTGTCAGATGTCGTCAAGAGATCTATGGCATCAGATGGCGATGAAGTATCCACAATTAATTTATCTTCCTCCTCGATTAGGAAGTTAACACTGCATTCTTCAAGCCTGTTGTGAAGAATTTCACACTCATGCAGCAACTTAGCATTAGCAGCAATTACATCCTCTGCTCTTTGCTTTTCCTTTTGAACTGCTCTCTGGAATGTACATATGAAAACAGCATTAATTGATGGGTTTTTTTCGCAGCAATGAACCAAATGTGCATCCTAGAATGCCTTATGTGAATATATAAGTACCATCCATTAATATTACAACAAGAAACAATGGAAGAAAATTGATTAAAGAAAACCTAAAGAGCAAACCAGTTTAAAAATATGGCAGAAAGTGTAACTGGTTGAGTAGGTATTCAAGAAAAATTTACCTCTACTTCTAATTTCTCTTTCATTAATCGGCTAAGCTCATGTTTCAGTTCCATCTGAGAAGTTCGAAGAGATTTGACCTCTTTAACAAGTAGCTTTACATCTGCTTTTGACTTCACCTGCAACTCTTCATGATCTTTATGCAAGTCTTCAAGCTCTTTTCTAGCAACATCCAACTGCTCCAGCAACATTTTGTTGTCATGCAGTACTGAAATTTTAGCAGACTCAGCACATGCCTTTTCATCCTGGATGTTCTCATGGATCATTCACTACCTTTCACCATAATGGAATAAAATGAAATGTAGAGAATGATAGTTAAAGAAAATAAACCTGTTCATATTTAAGTTTTAGCTCCAACTCCAAACACTGCCTACGGAGTTCCTCCACGTCCCACTGCGTTTGAGTAAATCTTTCCTTTTCAATCAAAACAGCTTGCTGCATGTTTTCTTTACAATTGTTTCTAGTAGTCTCAAGATCCACTTCCAAATCTTTAACCTAAAAAAAAAGGCCCTCAAAAGTCAGTTATGTCCTCAGTATTGATACTGTACAAGTAATATTATATATTATTATTGCCTGTTGAAAACCAGAGTCAAATAATGCTACACTAAGAGAATCTAGAGATGATGCCAAGATTGGTAATGGAGTAAGTGCTATCCAGTAACATCAATTTCACAATTCACAGCACAATTTTGGTTGCACAGCAGTATTTTATCCAATTAAAAAGTTAAAGTGTGACAAAGCTAAACCTTTGAATACATTGCGTCCATAATATTTCAGTTGCACATCACCAATATGAATACAAATTTCCAAACCAGTCAACGCCATCTACCAAAAAAGATCAATCAATTACTCTATTACTAAGTGTAGTAAATTTGTAATAACAACAAAGATTATGGTGTTGTTGCCATTAAAAAAGCACTATAGCTAAACCACAAAGTGAAGTCAGCTGGAGCTTCAAGGTCAGTTTCTAGGTCAAAAGCCCATCTGTGATTCCCTCATCACTAGCAACCAAAACAAATGGGATTAAATTCTTCAATTCTCTTCCAGTTAGCAACTAACTAGCTCTCAAACTCCGCCATGCTCGAAGCCTATTCTTTCCCAGATTCAGATAGTTAATGGTAAGGTTACCATTATCCATTTTGTAGTGACGAATCTTGTATTGTGTTCCTAAGAAAAGGAATTTATCCATTTTTCAGGGTCTCAAAGGGGCTTGGAAACACATAAGAACTCTTGAATGGAAATGGAAATTAGATGCAACTCCAGTTCCTAGAGTGATGACAAGTCTAGCTAGCTCCAAAACTTGCATGAAATTCACATGGTACATACCAATGGTAGAAAGTTCCTTTTGAAAAGGAAAAAAAGAAGAAGAAGAATAAAATAGAGTGCAGGATCACACATGACCTTAAATTTATTCCTATAGTGATACAAGTATGAAACTAAAGCTGCACAAGAAAGCATAAAGGCACAGTCACGCATACCTTTGTTGTCAAGAATTGCCTCACAGCAATTTCTTGATTCAATCTTGATATAAGATCTTCCACATCTGTTTTTGCAGTAGCAAGTCTTTGCTGTAAAGTATTAAGAACTCTGTTCAATTTATGGCGCTCATCTGATGGAAGAGCAACCAGTACGTCCCTTGGGAACTGTAAATCAGAGCTTACAGAAGCATCAATGATTTTAAGACTCTCACTGGCTTCAGGACAATCAACGCCATTATCACCAAATAAATTACCCATTCCCAAATTCGATATTTCACTAGTTCTCACAGAACTGAAGTCACTCTCAATACTCTCTGCAGAAAGTTGTCGGACACGACCATCCAGCCTCAGATACTCTTGTTTGGGCAAAGATCCCATTTCATCACCAAGAAAAGATTTAGCTTTCAATGTACTATCAGCATTTTTATCGCTGCCTACGATACTTTTCTCTCTTGCAGTATGTATTTTCTGCCGGGAAAACCTTTCTAGGTTTTCAAGAATATAGGTCTTGCTAAACCTACTATGTTTAACAGGTGTTTCAGTAGGATCCGTTATGTTTTGTTCAGACGTTGAAGCTTCGATGCCACAATCTTCACCGTTATCTCTTTCAATCCTCGGAGTTCCAAACTCTGGCATCTCATCAGGAGAATCATAATCATGATATGATGCAACTGATGAACTACCAGCAAGAATAGAAACATCTGAGTTGGTTTGCAGAAGAACTGATGGAACCATGCCAGTAACAGATGAATTAATATCTGAGTCTTGCTGATTTGCATCATCAAAAACTGAAAAGGATAAAACATATTAATTCAGAAAAGTATGAGCAATTGAGTACATCTATTCTTTGTTTCATGCGCAAGTCAATCTTCAAGATTCAACCAAAAAACAGAACAGTACTTTCAAGATGCGTCTACAAACACCTACATAACCTAGCTGCCGCCTCTAGCTCAAGAAACGTTCCTACTGGAGCACTTCTGGATACATCGATGTCCGATAATAGTTTTTCCATCCAATCCTCTAGAGAACATCTTCGCTGCAATATACAGGCCATTTAAGAATATTATTACCATTATTCTAAATCAAATAATTAATTTTAAATTCTAGATGTGCATTAGTCTCAGCAAAAGTACAGTTCCCACATCTGCTTCTATAATTACATAGGCTGGTTCTGTCAACTGCAAAGCCATTTTTATATTGTAAAGATTGCTACAACAGAGCTACTCTCCATGAATACTAGAAATAGAGTTAAGAGATCAATTGTACTCATCAAGGCTTGAAGTTATGTTCCTAAACTTATATGCACTTTCTAGCAGACACCGTTATCGAGTAAACTGCAAGTCACTACAGACAAATAATAACAGCTTCAGCAACCATTCACGTTATAGTGGAGGTATGCTTGAGTCTCTAAAACTAGACAATACTATGGAGTATCTCTCATTCCAAAGGAATTTCACAGCTTCCAGTGAAGGGAGCAGTAGTATGTAAATGCATGTCTGAGTTTGTTTGGTCCATTATATTTCGTTTTGATTTATTTCTCCCTTTTCATCATTGTGATGGGGTAAGGAAATGGTGAGACGGAGATTAAAAGAAATCTTCAAGAACTTTTCTATTTATATGCATATGCAAAATCCTACTCTCTTGCAGGGACCAAAATCAGTGACTTCATGTTCATAAGCATTGCTGATTTCTCAAATTGAAGAACAAGGATGGAACCACCTTTAAGTTCTAAATACTGGAATATCATGGAAGCAACATGACATCATGGAGATTCTTATATAGACAATGCCATAAACAGCCAAGAAAATGTAGAAAGTGGGCAAAAAGAACCTACCTCTTCCACAAATACGCTGCTCTTCATTCTCAAAATCCTCTTTGGAGGAGCTGGAGGAAGGGTTTTGTGAGGAAATGCCTTTTTAAGCTACAAGATAGAGTAAAAGAGTGAGCTTGAAACCACCATAAAAGTAACCGATACCAAAAAAATGACGCATTCGAAGCAGAAATTTCAAAAGCCAAATAGACTCCTGGCAGCAAAAGTGATTTGACATCTAAATCACCTCAGAAAGCAGATTTAAAAAATCACTAAATCTTCGCAATATCTCTCTGGTGGTGGTGATCCCTTCGGGTGACTGGACACCTACTTGAACTCTGTAAAACTGTGATCAATGAATGTTAAAACAGAAAATTACTAAAACAGCACCAACTGTACCAAGAATTTAAAAGGGAATAACACAAAGGACAGGACAAGTATCTGCTTGAATTTCAGAATGAATAGATAAGGAGCTGTGAAGAATGATACCGCAACAGGATCTGAACCTCTTGACTTGGGTTCAAGAACCCAAGAAGGAATGGTAACACAATAACTCCATCCGGAATGAGGATCATGAGGCCAAACAGAATTCCGTCCATCCTATACTCAAATACTAAGACATATTATTACAGGACAGAGAAAGCAATCAATTAAAGTTCCAAGAATCATGAATCAAAGAACAAAGCAGGAAACTATATAAAAAGGGAAAAGAAGACGAACCCATTTGCGAGGAGGGAGGCTCCAGTCCATTCCAAGAGGGAGGGGGAAGTGCCATCATGGCGGTGCCTTGGAGGGCTCTTTGGCTTATCAAGGCGTGTGATTGCAGTTGAAGAAATTGATGATGATGATCGATGACGATGACGATGAGGAACGGTGAAGGTGGTGATGGTGAGAGATGGAGATTGGATCGATGATGGGATCGGAGAAATTGCGGAAATCGAAGAGAGAGAGGTCTTGCGTGTATATATCCATTTTTTCTTTCTTTCTCTTTCTTTTTCCTCAATGTTCTTCACTTCTTCTGTTCTGGTAGTAAATAACAAGTAGTAGTAATTATCAGGAACAGAACACAGATTTTAACTGCTCTCTCCCTCTACAATTGAACTAATAACTCTCTTGATTTCGACAAATAAAAGCCTCCTCCAGTTGGTTGGACGGATGATCTGTTGTCTAGTAATTTCCTCTCTATTAACCTTGCATTCAATCTTATCTCTATGCAATTGTAGATTCAGACAACTCAATCCAACTACAGAGAGTCGTGTAATGATTATGTGACTCTCTCATAAAATATCCAAAAGCACAGATTTGGAAATAAAAACACAAAGAGAAGAAACCTTAAATCTGATTTTATAAAACAGTCGCGTGGCTTTCTCTCGAGTCCTACGTTAGGTTTATTTGCTTTACTTTTTCAAAATTTTTAAAATGTTTTTTTTTCTTTTTCTAATTGTAGCTAAGCATTTAGATCAAAATTATGTGTCGCGTCGCTAATATTTTCCATCTCAATAAGCTTAAATTACTTAAATTTTAAAAAACACCATCTGATTTACAAAGTTATTTATGCATAATTTAATTTGCTAATTTGATGCAAATACAGAGTCTCGAAATGAGAAGGGTTTTTCATAATATTTTGTATGTTAATCTTGTCCGGATTGATATAATTATCTTTATTTATTTTTTTTTTATAACGCAGATGTTCGGATCAGCTTATACGCACTTCGACTAATCCCACGGATCTCGAAGTTAACGATCATGTAAGCCTCAAGTGGTCACGAATGGAAAGTAATCGGGACTCGAACCCGAGATCACGAGAGGAGCAAACCTCTCGATACCAAATCCTTGCCGTTGCATCACCCTCCGGTGGTTTAATTATCTTTATTTTTATTGTTCTTATTGCATCAAATTTGATGCTGGTAAAATCAAGATGTTTAATTCAGATCTTATTCACCCGATGCATGAATCCTAAAGTTTGCAGAAGAATTAAAAATTGAATTATTCCCTTATTAGCTTGAGATGCATTAAATATTATACATATCCAAATACACTTATTCACCATTAACATTGGGCAAATGTCAAATATACCACCAAGCTATATATGGGTATTATCAATTTTGCATTCTAACTAATTTATTATCAATTTTACCAATAAATTAAATTGATTTTTCAATCAAAGAATTTTCTCAAAATCATTTAAAAAACGTTAAGTTTTTTAGAAAACGACCATAGTGTTCCTTATAAAAAAAAATAGTACGGTTTGTGTGAAAATATGAAAAGAAAGCCTTAAAAATGAATGAAGAATTTCTAGAAATTTCATGGTAAAAGTTGATACGAAAAATTATCCGGCAATAACATCAAGTCTATCTGATAGTTGGCTAGTATTTTTGAGGTTTGCTCGTTAATATTTCTTTGCAATTTATTGAATGAAATGAATTTGAAAGGAAAGCAAATAAAATAAAAACAAAATAGTTTTAAAACATATAAATGTAATATATTATATTCTGAATTGCATCTTCAATTTAATTTCTTAATTTCTTAGTTACTTTTGAAATAAATGTTACAAAATTGTATTGCGTGATTTCATAATTTTACTAGTAAAGTGATTAGTTGGAAAACAATAACGATGAAAATGCCACGCAGTTTACCTCCACACTATCATAAATTTTAAATAAATTTAAAGGACTTTTGATGAGAGTTGATTTAGAATTATATATATTTTTTCCATGACCTTACGGAGTTAATAAAGCATGCAATATGTAGATATTAAATTATAACTTATAACATGAACATCAATTGGTTTAAGTAAAAACAACAATTATAATTAGAATTTATATATTGTTTGTTTCCCAAAATTTAAGTTTAATCCAACCTTGTATATATTATGCTAAAGAAACTAAAAGAACTTTGGTTTGTCAACAACAGTAAGTGAACAGTACACCGGTTCTTTTGTGTTATTTTGTTTTTTTTTTCCTTTCGTATCCAAGCTTGGTGCCCAGGTTGGCATTTTTTCGTGTGTGTATATATATATATATATATATATATATATATATATATATATATATATATATATATATATATATATATATAGCTCATGATTAATAAACAAGAGAGAGATATAGAGAGTTTTAGATAGTTTGACTCAATTTTTTTAAAAAATAATGAATTAAAAAATTCATAAATTTTTTTTGCTTTTTCATATATATTTCTTCAAAATTTATTAGAACCAATTTTATTGTAGTTTTTATTTTAATCTATTGACTTCAATATATTTTTGCAATTTAGTTTTATTTTTTTGAATATTTTTCTATTTATTCTATGTACTTTCAATCTGTTATATATATATATGTGGTACAAATTAACTATATATAGATTTGATTTATATTAATAAAAAAATAAAACTTTTTACTAATATTATATCATACAAATCGTTAATATTATATATATAATGATTATTTATCCACGACATAATACTGAGTATCCGACTAGTAAAAAAACTAAAATAATCGAATGTGTAGCTGCTCATTTACTGTAGCTACGCACCCAATTTTCCAATTCATTTAATTTTCTCTGATTTGTTTTATGCTTTGCTGTGCCGTGTGTGTTGCCTTGATTTTGAGCCCATTCGGTTTTGGTGTGCCATGTGTGTGTTGATTTGATTTTGGGCCCACTCTTTTCGTTTATTGTATCTTCCCACGGCACACTCAGTTCTCCCATTCTTGCTGACCCAAGTGTGCTCTTTCCATCTTTTCTGATTTGTTTTTAACTTTACTGTGCCGTGTGTGTCGATTTCATTTCGGGCCCAGTCATTAAACCCATACCTTGGCATCAGGGATAAACAACTAGCCAAGCAAATCATCGAACACCTGGACTGCATCACGAAGAAGATTCCTAAAAAACCATAGAATTAGATTCGTGAAGAAGCCATGCTTTTAGCCTCAAGAGCAAAGCACGCTGCTTGATAAAATAAATAGGGTCAGAAGAAAAAATTATTAGTTGGAAATATAGGAACCTGATTGAATTTGATATTTAATTTCTTTCTTCTTTTCTTTTGCTTTTCTTGCGGAATGCGAAGGTTGGCTAGTTGAAGGGTTAATCCCAAATTATAAAAAGAACTAAAAGAAATAAACGTGTACTATTCACTTACTGTAGCTCTTTTCCAATTTTTATATTCATATATTTTTGTTTTTTCTTTATTGCTTCTTAGTCTTTCTTTATTTGAGAAATAAATTAATTAGTCTCTTTGGTTTGAAAACTAATTTTTTATCTTTTTTATCATTTTGTTGTTTTTTTTTAAAGAGATGGAAACAAAATAAAAAAATAAGTAAAATATGAAAAAATATATTTTTTGAAGAAAATTATCTTATCTAATCAAAAGTATCTTGGTATTGTATAAAGAGATTATGAAATCCTATGTTGGGTTGTTTTAATGATCCTTATTTGTTCTTAGGTACTTATATATATTAATGTAGGTGAAAAAAGAAAAGAGGAAAATAAAAATAAATACGACAAATGGAGGTAGAGATGGTTTTTGAGATAAGAAATTGGAAATAGAGAGATGCAAATAAATTTCAATGATTCATACAAATGATAACTAGACACCTCATTTCTTTTTATTTTGTTAGGACCACCATGTAGAATTAAGAAAATGGTAAATTGGAAGATTAAAAAGAATGATCTTAGAAAAAAAAATGTAAAATATGAAAAAAGACATTTTATAAAATAAAAAATAAATTATTCGTGATCGATACTCGATTAAAAATTAAATAATTTATTTTTGAAACCAAAAGAATTATTTAATTCATTTCTTAAAATGAGATGAACTAATTTCTACTCTAATTTGCAATTCAACAATCTCTTTCATCATAAATTAAGAATTTATGAAAACCAATTTTGTAATAGTTTTTATTTTAATTTATTGATTTTAATATATTCCATATAATTTTTTTTTAATTTTGTTTATACTATATATTTTGAATCTACTAAATATGATCACAATATATATATATTGAAAACTAATTATGTATTTGCATACATAGCATCAATTATTTATTATTTATTCTTTTTTATGTTCTAAAATCAATATTTTTTAAATAAAATAATTGAAATAATATTTTAGAAGAAAAATTATTCAAATACAATTTTTGGTACTAATATTATTGATTATTTTGTTAATAAATATATAAATCAAATGATTTTACTCAGCAAATAGATTTGATTTATAATAATTATGAAAAATAAGATTTTTATCCATATTATATTGTATGAATCATTGACTTTATGTATATAACGGTTATCTAATCGTAACGTAACACAGGTATCCAACTAGTTTGGACTAAAAGACGTAATGTTAAATTTGTCTAAATAGCTAAAAGGATTTAAAATTTTTTAAAAGTAGTTTTTGAGTAATAACAAGTACTAAAAAATGCTTTTAGTGAGTAAAAAATACCACGAGCATTGTATAGAAAATATTTGTTGACAACACAATCAAGTAAAAATTATTGGATTAATTTTACGATCTTAAATAAATAAATTTATGAAGAAAGTCTGCAATTTCGGTATCTAACTTTTGATTTTTTTTTTCCTCGTTTCTTTAGTGCCTAATAGATAAAAAATTTTATTTCAAAGTCCAACATATATATATATGTATATTTGAGTGTCTTTTAGCATTTCACTTGAGAGTATAAAATGCTAATGTGTCCGGAATAACCCATCACGTGGCGGTTAATTTCAAATGCATCGATATTTCATACTCCCAAATGACTCGTAGATGTCAAAAAAAATAAAAAT